GGAGTCTGCCTCTCTCTCTGACCCTCCCCCCTCTCATGCTCTCTATCTCATTCTCTCTCTCAAATAAATAAATAAAATCTTAAAAAAAAAAATATCCAGTAGTAGAATTACTGGATCATATGGTAATTCTATTTTTAATTTTTTGAGGAAACTCCATACTGTTTTTCTCAGTGGCTATACCAGATTGCCTTCCCACCAACAGCGTAAGAGGGTTCCTTTTTCTCCACATCCTCGTCAGCACTTGTTTCTTGTGTTTTTTTATTTGAGCCATTCTGACAGATGTGAGGTGATATCTCATTGTGGTTTTGATTTTCATTTCCCTAATGTTGACTGATGTTGAACATGTTTTCATGTGTCTATTGGCTATCTGTGTATCTTCTTTGGAGAAATGTATGTTCATATCTTCTGCCCATATTTTCACTATTATTTGTTTTTTTGGGGGGGGTTGAGTTGTATCAGTTCTTTATATATTTTGGATACTAACCCTTTATTGGATACGTCATTTGCAAATATCTTCTCCCAGTTAGTAGGTAGTCTTTTAGTTTAGTTGATTTTTTTAAAATTATTTTTATTTTTATTTATTTATTTTTTTAAGCAGGCTCCATGCCCAATATGAGGCTTGAACTCACGACCCTGAGATCAAGAGTCACATGCTTGGGTGCCTGGGTGGCTCAGCCGGTTAAGCGTCTGCCTTCGGCTGGAGTCGTGATCCCAGGGTCCTGGGATCGAGCCCCACGTCGGGCTCCCTGGTTGGCGGGGAGTCTGCTCCTCCTTCTTCCCCTGCCCCTTCCCCAGCTTGTGCTCTCTCTCGCTCACTCTCTCTCTCAAATAAATGGGTAAAATTTAAAAAAAACAAGAGTCACATGCTTTACCAACTGAGCCAGCCTGGGTGGCTCAGTTGGTTAAGCATCTGCCTTCAGCTCAAGTCATGATCTCAGGGCTCCCTGCTCAACAGGGAGTCTGCTTATCCCTCTCCCTCTGATGCTCCCCCTGCTTGTGCTCTCTCTCTCTTTCTCTGTGTGTCAAATAAATTTAAAAAAACTTTAAAAATAAATAAAAAAGAACAAAGAACAAAGGTGAAAAGATTATCATGAAATAACAATATCCTGGCATTTGTCAATTAACTGAAATGATTAATTTAAAAAGTATTGAAATCGGAAAATCACACAAAGATGTAGAAAAATGTCCATGGTGGGACACTTGTGTGGCTCCGACGGTTAAATGTCTGCCTTCGGCTCTGGCTCTGGTCATGATCCCACGGTCCTGGGATTGAGCCCCTCATTGCGGGGGGGGGGTCCTTGCTCAGCAGGGAGTCTGCTTCTCCCTCTGCCCGCCACTCCCCACTGCTTGTGCTCTCTCTCTCTCTCTCTCTCTGAAGAGACAGTATTGCCAAATTTAAAAATTTTTGCCAATCGAGATTATATTCTTTAGGAAAGAAACTGTGAGAGTGCGTGTGTGTGTGCATGTGTGTATGTGTATGGGTGTGTGTATTTGAGGAGAGTATATATTTTTTTTCCTAGGGCACTGCCTCAGGTAAATTAGTAAGCAGGTAAGATGAAATTAGTTATATCTTGGGGCACCTGGGTGGCTCAATCAGTGTGGCTCAATCAGACCTTCGGCACAGGTCATGATCCCAGAGTCCTGGGATCACTTTCTTTTCTTCTTGGGTAGACAATGTTATTGACTAGTTCCTTATGAGTTGATCAACCTTTTAGTTTCTGTTAAAAACATCAGACCCCTTTTCTGATAGGTTCAGATGGACCTGGTGATGTTTGGTGAGATGTTTAAGACACAGATACCAATGTGGATGTAAATATCATGTACATGTGGAGGTGCCTGGTGGCTCAGTTGGTCGTGTCTGACTCTTGATCTCAGCTCAGGTCTTGATCTCATGATCGTGAGTTCAAGCCCCGTGTTGGGTAAATAAATAAAAAAATAATAAATACGATCTGCATGCTGATGACTCTCAAATTTGTTTTTCCAAATGAAACCTCTTTTCTGAATTCAAAATTGTCCCAGACTTGGCCAGTGGGAGCGATCTATACTTTTTTTTGACATATAGAGTTTCCAATGTTATACTGTTGTGAAACGCAGTGAAATGGTTGTGTTGCCATAAACACAATCTCACCCATAGGGCCTTTGCACTTGATTTTTCCTACACATAAAATCTCCTCCAGCTCCCTCCCTTATCTTTTTCAGAGCTACTCAACGAACTCATTGCTGTATTTAAAATTGCAGCTTTAGGGGTATGATCCCAGGGTCCTGGGATGGAGTCCCAAGTCTGCTGCTCCCTCTGCCTCTCTCCAACCTGCACCTCCCACCCGACCCTCTGCTCTCTCTCGCAAATAAATAAATAATCTTTAAAATTGCAACTTTCCCCAGCACTCCCTGTCCCCTTCCCTGCTTTTCCTCTCTTCCCTCTAACCATCACCATCTGACACACTATATATATTCTGCTTATTTACCTTCTTTATTTTAGGCCCTACCCACCACTCCATGATGGAATGGAAGCTCCACAAGGGCAGAAGTTTCATTTTGCTATTGCTGTTTTCTCAAAGTTTAGAACTGTGCCTGATACGTAGTATGGATTCAACTAACATTTATATAATGAAGGGAATGAGCGTTACCATGGACATTTTTTTAAAAGATTTTATTTATTTATTTATCAGAGAGAGAGCACAAGCAGGGGGAGTGGCAGGCAGAGGGAGAAGCAGACTCCCCGCTGAGCAAGGAGCCCAATGCAGGACTCCATCCCAGGACCCTGGGATCATGACCAGAGCCAGAGCTGAAGGTAGACATTTAACCAACGGAGCCACCCAGGTGTCCCACCATGGACATTTTTCTACATCTTTGTGTGATTTTCCCATTTCAATGCTTTTTAAAGTTAATCACTTCAGGTAATTGACAAATGCCAGGATATTGCTATTTCATGATAATCTTTTCACCTTTGTTCTTTTTTCTTTATTTTGAAAGATTTTATTTATTTATTTGACACAGAAAGAGAGAGCACAAGCAGGGGGAGCAGCAGAGGGAGAGGGAGAAGCAGACTCCCCGCTGAGCAGGGAGCCCTGAGATCATGACTTGAGCTGAAGGCAGATGCTTAACCGATAGAGCCACCCAGGCACCCCTATTCTTCTTTTTTAGATGTTCTTTCTTTTTGTTTTTTATGGAGATCAAGTTATGAGTCAAACTCTCCCAACATTCGTTTCTTTCTTTCTTTTTTTTTAAAGATTTTATTTATTTATTTGACAGAGAGAGACACAGCGAGAGAGGGAACACAAGCAGGGGGAGTGGGAGGGGGAGAAGCAGGCTTCCCACCGAGCAGGGATCCCGATGCGGGGCTCATACCAGGACCCTGGAATCATGACCTGACCCGAAGGCAGATGCTTAACGACTGAGCCACCCAGGCGCCCCCCCCCAACATTCTTTTCATCTAGGTCCTCGGAGATTGTTTCTGACAAGGTATTAATAATTAGGCTTTTGGAAACATTGAGAGAAGTCCATTATTGCAGATAAGATTTATTTCAAATGCCACATGTTTTTACTTTCTGCAACTAAGGTAGTTTGTCTGACTGTAGCCCTGAAAACACTGTAGTGCAGTCATTAGTTTGTTCTGCTTGCCAACCAGGATTTGTGTTCCTTCTGTTTAAGAGGCGAATTTTATTCATCTCTGTATACCTATATCCTAACTTAAGAATAAATTTGAATGAATCAATCCGTGAGAAAGGTTGAAAGTTTAGGAATCTTTCTCTCTCTTTTTTTTTTTTTTAAGATTTTATTTATTTATTTGACAGAGAGAGACACAGCGAGAGAAGGAACACAAGCAGGGGGAGTGGGAGAGGGAGAAGCAGGCTTCCTGCGGAGCAGGGATCCCGATGCGGGGCTCGATCCCAGGACCCTGGGACCCTGGGACCATGACCTGAGCCGAAGGCAGACGCTTAATGACTGAGCCACCCAGGCGCCCCAACAGTTTGGGAATCTTTCTCAAAGGAACAATCTGGTTATGCTTATTAAAGCAAGTATACCAAAGAATAAAAATTATGTGCAGAATCGGGTTAGAATGGTGTTGAAGGTAATGAATGATAGGATGAGTCTTTCTCTCCAGCTGAAGTTTTGACGTGGGAGGAACGATAGTTCCATGAACACCATTTTCCTTACATCTGTAAGCCCATGAAAGATCTGGATTCCCTTGTCTGTGTCATGACTGACCGCTGGAAGAAGCAATGGCCGTCCAACATTAGGGAGAAATTCCAAAGCACCACCCAGTCTTAATTTGGCATAATGCCACTGGTTATTCCTTCTAATGTTAAAAACTTACTTCTTCTGGTGCCTTCATTGCTTCATCCATAAAGTGAATATGACCACCCTCCATGTACAAGGGCCAAATAGCCAGCAAAAATGTAATGATGACCTTTTCAGACATCAAGCCTAGAGTCAAGGGAACCCAACCCTCCTCTGGCCTCTCTTTGGTGTTGAGGATAGTTTACCATCATCTGCAACCCAGATATTGCTCAACTGTGTCATCTCTGATCTGGCATTCCCTTGATCTATCTATAAACATTCAATTTAGAAACCCTAAAATTTGTCTCTCAGCCCAAGAGCCCCTCGGGAAAAAAGATAATGACAAGAAACCCTTGACACCTCTCTTCGGGTCCAATACTCCCTTTTGACCTTAAAGAAGAAAAAAAAAGGGTGTTATGAGAGAGGAGGGCGAAGGGGAGGGGTAAGGGTCGAGAGGGGAGTCCAGCTCCAGTTTGGGGAAATCCAGCTCGCATTTTGACTCTAGCTCAGTGGTGCAGGGTCCAGCAAAGGCAGAGCCCCTGCTTCACTCCCTGAGGTCTGTCCTGGGGAGACACTACTGCTCCGGGGGGCTGACCTGGCGGGGAGTGGCAGCGCAATCCGCTCCCGCACCGCTTTGTGCGTGCAGCCGCCAGTCCCTCGGCTCCCGGGTCTGCCCCCTGGGACAACCCCCTGCCCCGCCCCAGTCATGCAACTCTACCTGCCTCTCCTCTGTGGACCTTTGGGAAGCTGCCGCCCACCCCGGGGGCTCGGGCCCTGACCCTGCCAGGCTGCCGGTAGGTGTCCGCCCTGGGCCCGCTCACGCTCCTCGCGCCCGCCGGGGCCCTGGGCTCCCAAGTTGTGGGGACCGGCGCGAGTTGGAAAGTTTGCCCGAGGGCTGGTGCGGGCTTGGAGCCGGGGGCACGCGCTCTGCCCTCCGAGCCAGAGCGGGCCGGTGGTGAGCTGGGGACTGGGCAGAGGGCAGGGGTGAGGGGACCCTCACGCGGAGGCCGGAAGGGGGTGCGAGGGGCGGTACTCGGCTGGGGCTGGGATGAAGGCCAGAGCTGGGCGTCCGCGGGTCCTCCGGGTCCGCAGGGGTGGGCCCACTCCCCGCGGCGACCCCCTGCCCCGAACCGCTTGGGGAGCTTTTGTTGCGGGTGGTAAACAATGCCCCCGGCCGGAGGACTCGGCCGCCTGCCCCCGAGGCCCAGCTGCGGCGCGGGATGGCGGGGAGCGGAGGCGGGGGCGCCGTGGGCTCGGACCTCGGGCGCCGCTGCAGCCCGGGCTGGGGGAGGGCAAGTGTGCCTTCGGGGATCCCTGAAGGTGCCGGCGACCCATGCGCCTCTTCGGAGAGTTGGAAGTCCGGCGCCTCAAGATGAGAAAGAGGGCAAGTTGCGGGTGGGGAGCCCGTCCTGTCGCATAATCAGGCGCACCCCCAAACAGATTTTCTCCCTCCCCCACGCTTGTGTAGGGGATAGATTCGTTGGGAAACATTTGGCACTTCCCTCCCTGAGCATTTCGGGGAGGGGACTCCAAGGTAGTAGGGGAGTCTGACCCGAGGTGACCCAGAGTCACACAGATCGGGGAAGAAGGGAATTGGGAATAGAATTAGTGTTCTGTCAAAATGGCTTTTTAAAAAACCTCTTAGGAGCGCCACCAGGTCGCCGAGCGCGCTGGCGTTGCCGTCGCGTCAGCCCCACTGGCGGGATCCGGGAACCGGGAGGTGCGCGGAGCTGGGTGCTGCGGACCCGGGGAGGAGCCGGATTCCGGCCCGAGCCTGCGGCCAGGGCCGCCAGCCCTTCACGTGTCGGGGAGGGAAGGGGCTAGATCTCTCTCCCTCTCCCTCTCTCCTCTCTTCCCCTTCCTCCCTCTCACCCAGACGCCCAACTGATTGAGCTGCTGGAAGGGCTGTATGCAGTCCATACAGTTCCACAAAAAGTGGTCAGGAAGTTGCCGGCCGGCTCCAGTAGCCTTTCCACATGAATGGGGAACCCAAATTGCGCATTTCTGACCCAATAAAAATGAATGTATTACCAAGAGAATAAATACTGCTTGAACTAGGAGTCTTTCCCCTGCCCCCGGCTCGTCCTCTTCCCAAATTAACCATTTTGCATCGGTCACTCATGTGCCACTTCGCCCCAGTTCCACTCGCCGGTACCACGTGAGCTGCACAATACATGGTAATGGACAGTTTATGAAGAAATAAAGTGTAAGTGCTTCGAGACTTGAAGCGAGTGAAAGATACGGTGCACAGTCTAGTGTCCGCGGGGTGCGCTGCGCGCCGCACCGGGATGGGTTGAAGGGCGGCGCTGTAGGGCAGCGGCCTCAGGTCGGCCCTGAACCCAAATGTCCTCACTTGCCCTTCTCCTCCCAGCAATATTTAGTAAAATAAATTTATAAAGACGATGGCTTCTTTAGGCCTCAGGATGCCAAACACACACGTATGTATGTATGCATGCATGTATGCATGTATGCAAATATATTTGCTTGTTAACCAGTTAGGGCAAGAGTAATTTAGGGCATATCGGGATTTATGACCACAGTTAAACAAGGGTGGTACACGCAGGTAGGTGCATAGATAAATATTTGGAGGTTAGTCCGTATAGTTTCCAAGAACGAAAAGACTTCAGTACTGTGATTTTGGGTGTGTTTCCTGATTTTAATCGGTTTTAGGTTACACTGGTTAAAATCCTCCCTTGCCTCCCCCCTTAAGAGATCTTGAATAGGTTGGTTGGTAGCCTCTGACAGTGTTTAAAGCCATGTTATGATTTCAGCTAAACTTCAGAATCAAGATACAGGGGAGTTATTGGCACACACTCTCCCTTTTTCTTTGCAAAGATTAGTAGCTGAGATTTACAATCTTCAACCACCATTTAACCATTTTAATGAGAGTTAACTATCGTGTTCAGCTCTGGTTTTCCAGAATTGATGGGTGGGAGGTTTGGGTCGGAGGTTTGGATCACCACTGTTCCTGCTCTTTGTTTCTCTTCCCTCTCCGGTCTTCTTTATCTGGTTTGTCCATCCCCTCCCCCACTCTCTTTGCATCTATCTTTCTTTCCCTGCACACTTAAATTTCTTTTTTCCCCCCTAGGTTTACCTTTATAGTCTTCAGCATTTTGATCCCAGTTGTGTTTTTTTTTACTCAACCTTTATTACCATAAATTTCTTCCTCTTAACTCTGTCTTTTGCTCCCCCTCTCCCCTTTAGACTTTTCTTCCTTAAGCTTTTTACTACTCCCCTTGTATTTTATGTTTTTCTTGTTTTTGGAAGAGTTGTTCTATCTCCATTTTAACTTCTCCCTTCCCTTTTCTGTGGCCCTCTTAGGCCCCCCCTTTTTTTTCTTGCTCTCTGCAGGGCAGCCAGGGGTGTTTTACATATGGAAGGAGCCTTTGACTAAATCTGCTGGTATTCTAGTGAGTTTCCTTGAACAGCCTTTCCTTGTGCGGAGGGCTCTCACACTTCCTGTGGTTGAAGACTATCTAGGAACTGCAAGCAGCCGCCCACCTCCTCTTCCTTTAGATGTAGAACTTAGTTGCTGGATGAAGCTAAGTCAGGTGGTGCCTTTTTAAAAGAAATGTTTTACATCTTCTATTTCTCAGTCAAGGGCAACAGGCTTTAAATTCTAAGCAGCTGAATGGAGTGACCATGAAATCAGAACCTCTTTTGCCTCTAGCCCTACAGATGAATTCACTCACCACTTTTTTGGCCACTGCTGGTAGTGGGAAGGGTTGCAATATAATTTTAAATTGACATGCGGGCTGTATGGTTACATCAGTTCAGCCACTTCCTACCCAGGGGACTTTGGGAGATCCAGAAGGAGGGATGTAGATGGGAGAGGATTTTCTGACGAGGTGCTGTCAACATCGTCCTTTATAGACAACTGATACAGTTTCGGAAGTAAGCTTTTTATTTTCTAGGCAAAGGGATTACTTCATTAATTACAAAAAAGGCCCTCTGTAGGGAAAGGTTGAATACTTAGTAAGCTCAAATAATAGTGACGAAAATACCTGACCCTATTTGTTGACCAGTTTGGTTAGGTAAGTTTAAGTTACTTGTGAATAATTAGCAGATCCTTACACAGGCAGTGTTTATCATATTCACCTTGGGGCCTACTCCTGCCACTTCTTTATATTCTCTACTTTAGGCTGGCATCATGTCTTTTCATGTTTCAAATTATATGCTGGCCTTTTATCTCCTGGCTTATAATGTTTGGATCTCATATGCTCTAGTCTCCTATATCACAAGGACATTTTAGGAAAAAGAATTTTTATTTTTGGTGCCCTCTGGTGAAAACACTTGCTAACTAATGTTTTACATCCCACAGTGGTTGGGTTTTCTGTTTGTTTGTTTCATTTTGTTTTCTCTTCCAGGAAAATAAGAACCCACAGAATAGTATCAATTAATTGCAAATAATTAGGGCCTATGGTATATGTTTAATAACAGGAACACTATTCTCTTATTTTCTGCTCTGATCATATTATCCTATGGGGGATAAGGGGAGATGGAGCATTTAATAATGTTTATAGATTAATAAGGAAAATAAATATCAGTAGATCTGTGGGGATAATTCCATATTTAAATACGGACCTGTTTAATAGAATGGACTACATTGGTTTTTTTTTCCCCACAAATTTCAAAAAAAAAAGTTTGCTGCCTCTCCTCCCAGGGTTCAGCCCTGGGAATAACTTAGTTTATCACAAAAGAAGGTCACATTTCATCAGTGGAGCCAAGGGTGATAAAATTAGGATCTTGTGGGAGCCCTTATTTTGTTTCTGATTGTCTATTTCTTTGGCTGGGTGGTACCCAGTGGTTTCTCCCCTGCAGTTGGGTTTTTCAGGGGTCATTGGCCTCTTTCACGATCTCATAAAAAGGCTGTTACCATTTAAAGAGGCCACATCTTCCCAATCCATGTTGCTCATACCTTTTCCATTTCCTTGGCAGGCTCTTTTTCAGGAGATAAGATTTGAATGGTAAACATTATCTTAATTACAAGTCTGAATTTCTAAAGCACTTTAATTTAAAAATATAAAAGAATATATGAGACAGAGATCAGTTTATAAACTACTCTCAAAGGCAGATCCCATGACACCTTCTGGCATATCCAGATTACTTGCCTACATGTGTGAATTTTAATTTTCGTGGCTGATTGCAATACCTAGATTATATGCTCCTAATAATTTTTTAGCAATGTAATCTTGATACAAGAGATAAAGCAAGCTTATACCGATATTGTTGAATTTCTAAAGAATGGAAAGGATTGCTTTTTGCTATCTGAAAAAAACATCCTTATAAAGACTGCTGACTTTCTGGAGATTAGAATTGGAATGTCTTTTTTTTTTTTTTTTTTTCTAAAAATACTGGTACAAAAAGCAGTGGTCTTTGGAGAAAATGTCCTACAGTTTTTCACAGCCAAAAAGTTAGTGCAAGCCAAAAACTTTTTTTTTCTTTTTTTAAGAAAAGGGGGAAAGTGGTAAGCTTAGTTGCCAAGAACTCAAGTCAAGTATTCTCTGGTCTAGTGTTTGTATTTAGCACAGATTTATCAGACTTATTTTTCTTGTGGTTAATGTTATTACTAATGTCTATTTAAAAAGTCTGTCTTAAAGGCACAATGGTTTTGACTCTAAATGTTGTGCTCTGGGATCTACAGTGCCTGGCTTACAATGTGTTAGGTGATAACAGAAACCAAAGAACTAGATCTTGTTTGGCAGAATATGGCAGACTGTGGGTTAAACTGTTTTGATAATAATGATAACCACTCTTTAGCTCATTTTCTCTTATTATTTTTTGTATTTTGGAAGTATAAGCAGCCTTTATTTTTTTACCTCCCATTTATTATTAAACACCTATTATATGCCAACCCTGTGCTAAGTGTTCACACATGTCATCTCATTTTATTCTCATGGTAACCCAATGAGGTCAGTACTATTATGCTTCCTATTCGATTACACATAAGGAAACTGAAGTATAGAGAGACTGAGAAATATATCAGAATCACATGACTAGTAATGTTTCTGAGCTGGAAACTGAACCCAGGTCTGCCTACTTACAAAGTCCTTCTTACCTTACCTTCCCCGACTTCCTCCTCAACCTCAGATACCACTCGGAAGCCACCAGGCTTTCCCTGTAGGAGCCCAGTGATTCCTCAAAACAACCTCATTTCAGATGTAGAAACTTTGACTCAGTTAAATAGGTTCTGGAAGGACATAGCTGGTGATCACAGATTCAAACTCACAGCTTTCTGATGGACACATCTTTAGCTACTAAACCAACCGGTGCATCCCAGGATTACCTGGATCAGATCAGTACAACAAAAACAAATCAATTTGAGAATGATAGAGGGCTGTTCAAGTTTTTACTTTGCCAAGTAATAACAGTATAAAATAAACCTATCGCTACCTTTTGACAAAAGAAAGGACTTCTATTACTTTTTTAAAGAAAGGACATTTTTTAAAGGTTTTATTTATTTATTATTTTAAAAAGATTTTATTTACTTGAGAGAGAGAGCACGAACAGGGGGGAGGGGCAGAGGGAGAGGAAGAAGCCAACTCCCCGCTGAGTGGGGATTCCTGGCAGACCAGCAGGGGAGGTAGGGGGCGGGCCTTCATCCCAGGACCCTGGATCATGACCTGAGCTGAAGTCAGAGGCTTATCCCACTGAGCCACCCAGGCATCCCTATTTATTTATTTGAGAGAGAGCAAGTGAGGCTGAGTGTGAGCAGGGGGAGGGACAGAGGGAGAAGAGAGAGAGAATCCCAATCAGACTCCCTCTCAACTTGGATCCAGTCGTGGGGCTCCATCCCCTGACCTGAGATCATGACCCAAGCTGACCCCAGTGGAAGTCAGGAGCGGGTTGCTCAATCGACTAAGCCACCCAGGCACCCCAAGAAAGGACATTTTAATGAGAGAAAACTGGAAGGCTTAACTTCAGAGTAAAGAAGAGTTGTTTATTATTATTATCATTTTTTTAAAGATTTTATTTATTTGAGAAAGAGAAAGAGATAGTGAGAGAGAGCACTGCAGAGGGGAGAGAGAGGGAGAGTGAGAAGCAGGCTCTCCGCTGAGCAGGGAGCCCGACTCGGGGCTCAATCCCAGGACATCAGGATCATGACCTGAGCCAAAAGCAGTTGCTTAACTGACAGCCACCCAGGTGCCCCAAGAAGAGTTGTTTAAAATGAATAAATTCAACTTTATGAAAAACTTGATACTGCCTGTTTTTTTCTGATTTTGTCACAGACTGTTGACCATTGGTTGCAAATCAGTTTTTGGTAACTATCCTACACCATGCTTTTTTACAAATCCAACAACCTGTCAATTGTTAAAGAATCCTCACCCACTCAGTTGTACCACTCTTGATTCTGTGATCTTTAGAGAGTATATTGATACATCTTGTATGGTGAGCTTTATTCTTGTTCATAGTTTGGTTTTATTCTGCATTAGGGTAAGCAATCTGAGGAGACCAAAGATAATTAATGATGGCTTAGTCAGTCCGCTTTCATTTTCTTCTTTTCTCTTGCTTACCTTCCAAATAATAGTTGCTTGCCTAGAATGCTTTACCATTCTAATTATCTCATTTTCTCTTTATTTCCAATTTCCTTGCCTAGGCATTCATCATGAGACTTTTGGGACCCTTGGTAGAAGGGATTTTAGAACCAGCAGTCTTTGGATTAAGTCGGGTGAAAGAGAAAAGAGGGACATCATTTCTGGGTGTGGGCACTGCCCACCACAATGCCTTCCTTATACATAGTAGGTACTCAACAGATATTTGTTGGACCCGTGAGTCTTATTTGTAACCTAATCTGTCAATACTAACTTCTCAGATTTTATGCTATTTTTCTGTGCATGTGTAAAGCTCAAAATTTGTAGACTGTCAATTGGAATGTGGTATTAATATTATTGGATCTCCAAGTAGAGTTTCTTGAATTATAATAAGCCTCTTCTTCCTCTGGTTTTACCAGCTTTCCTGTCCAACACATGACACCTCTGCCCGTGTGGTGATGTGCTGAGGAAAGAGAGAATTTTTTAAGTACCCAAATTTGTAAAGATTAGGATTTGATTTTTAAACTACATGTAACTACAGCAGTTGTGGTTTCTAATATAGAATAACCCCCATGCTCACTCTGTGCATAGAACTTCATCAACTAAATCAGTTGTCACAATACTTAAAGGAGCTTTATTTGTGAACCCAGGGTTAAAAGGATACTTGAGTATCTTTTGTGTTTATTGTATTTTTCTTTTGCAGTAAACATTCTCAGTGCCCTAATTTTGATTAATAATTATTAGTAGATATTCTGTTTCAAATGGGAGAATACATAAGAAAAAGACTCACTCCCAATGTTTTTTTGTTATTTCAGACCAAAATCTTGTGCCACTGAGTTCAACCATGGTGCATCCAGATTCTCCTCAGAAGTGAGACTTTCCAAAGGACCAATGACTCTGTTCCCTGTGCCCTTTCATTTTTTCCTACTCTGTAGCTATGTCTCGATCCCGCCATGCAAGGCCTTCCAGATTAGTCAGGAGGGAAGATCTGAACAGAAAGAAAAGCACCCAACTGAAGAAGACATCTAAGGCAGCCAACAAAAATGTGGCATCAGTCAAGACTGTTAGCCCTGGAAAATTAAAACAATTAATTCAAGAAAGAGATGTTAAGAAAAAAATAGAACCCAAACCACCTATGCCAGTCAGAAGCCTTCTGACAAGAGCTGGAGCAGCACGAATGAATTTGGATAGGACTGAGGTTCTTTTTCAGAACCCAGAATCCTTAACTTGCAATGGGTTTACAATGGCTCTCCGAAGTACCTCTCTTAGCAGGCGACTCTCCCAACCTCCAGTGATCATAGCCAAACCCAAGAAAGTTCCACCTCCTAAAAATTTAGAAAAGCAACATGGATGTGATTATAATGTAGTTGCTGACACGGGAGTAAAACAGTCAGAAAATGATTCAGTTCCAACACAAGTCCCCCTAATTGCTCCTGATGTAGAGAATCTAATTGGTGTTCAAAAGGCATCTTTAATTAAAGGTGAGAGCCAAGAGACAACCCAGTCTTGGTCCCAAAGGGTGGAGGATTCCAAAATAAATATTTCCACTCAGAGTGACCCTGCAGCAGAGATCCTTTCTGGGTCATCGGAAGAGACATGTGGTGGTGAAGGACTATTCTCTAAAGAGACATTGAATGATATCAGCGACTCCCCTAGAATGTTTGCTCAGGACACTCTGTGTGCTCCTTTGCTCCAAAGAGCAGCCCTCAAGGTTACTTACGAAGGAAACTCCAGCATTCAGTTAGAAGATTTGGGTTCACGAGTAGAATCTCTTAAGCTATCTGATTCTTACCTGGATCCCATCAAAAGTGAACGTAATGGCTACCCCACCTCAAACTTTAATAAGGTTATACCGGAATTGGACCTTAGAAACTGTTTGTCCATTGGTGGGTCAATATATCCTACCTCATTAATAAAACTTCTCTTGGCAAGCTCAGAACAAGAAACCCTTGGTGCTAAACCAGATCATCAAGAGGTACTCAAAACTATCCCAGAGCAACAGGAAATTCCTGGTACCACACCTATCATAGGACAGGCTTTTAGTGCTGTCCCACATCGATGGGAAGTTCCTGGTGCTAACATAATTCATGGAGAGGCTCTGGATGAGACCCCAGACCCACCAGCGATGCCTGGTGCTATTCCAGTCCAAGGAGAGGTCTTCGGTGCTATCCTAGACCAACAAATCCTCGGAATGGGTGGTGGTACTGCCTCAGACCCACCTATCTTTCTTCCTGCTCCTCTAAACCCAATTGCTACCTATAATGCTCTCCCAGAATGGCTTGAGCCCCAGAGCACTGTTTCATATGGGCTTGAGGTCCAGGGCGCTGTGCAGATTTTGCCTTTGGGCTCAGGTCACACTCCTCAGCCATCATCAAACTCAGAGATAAGTTCAGTACCTCCAATAGTGACTATTAGCAATATAGAAAATGAGAAGCAGGTTCATATAAGCTTTCTGCCAGCTAACACTCAGGGGGTCCCCATAGCCCCTGAGCGAGGACTCATCCATGCTTCCCAGGGCATTATCCAACTTTCCCAGGCTGGTTCCAGCACATTGGAAGGAGGGAGCTCCCAGATCAGCATGACCAGTGTGGCTAACACAGTGGTGTCTAGGCCAGTGTCACTCGCCAGTACCTCCTCTTCTCCTTCCTATACAACTTTGCTACCTACTTTGGAAAAGAAGAAACGAAAGCGCTGTGGGGTCTGTGAGCCCTGCCAGCAGAAGACCAATTGTGGTGAATGTACTTACTGCAAGAACAGAAAGAACAGCCATCAAATCTGTAAGAAAAGGAAATGTGAAGAGCTGAAAAAGAAACCATCCGTCCTCGTGCCTTTGGAGGTGAGTAAACCCCCACGGGCTGGGAGATGCCCAGGAGGCTCTGTAGAGTGATCTGTGCAGAGACTAGGTGATTCAGTATGACATCCTTTTACTCTGGTAACATTTTATATTATCTATAGGAGTTTGTGGATCAACCCGAAATACGTCTTGTGCAGTGAGCGATATATTAGCTTATTTTTAGAATTTGTCTCAGAAAACTAGAACATAAAGTTTTTCCATTACAGGATTTGATGGAGACAAGGAAATGACATGAAGTGTGGTTTTGCAAAGATTTCCACTATGCCTTATTTTGGCTAGTTGTGTGTCTTTTTTGGAAGTTACAGATTTAACTTAAATTTAAATGAAGAGTGGAACAAAATCATTAACTCCCTTGCAGCTTGAGGAACCAGTGGAATTAAACTTCTATTCTTTTTTTTTTTTTTTTTTTTTTTTTTTTAAAGATTTTATTTATTTATTTGAGACAGAGAGAATGAGAGACAGAGAGCACGAGAGGGAGGAGGGTCAGAGGGAGAAGCAGACTCCCTGCCGAGCAGGGAGCCCGATGTGGGACTCGATCCCGGGACTCCAGGATCATGACCTGAGCCGAAGGCAGTCGCTTAACCAACTGAGCCACCCAGGCGCCCTAAACTTCTATTCTTTTGAAAGAATAAAACTGTCTCTATCCTTAATTTTGAAACTTGGCCTTGGAAGGTAAATAAAGCTTTCATCTTAACTTTTGGTAGGTGATGTCCACCTGGTTCACATAGCCCATGTAGTTGTTAGGATTATCAGAAGTTCAAAATGGTTTGTAAACTCTGAAGTGATACATAAACATTGGTTCCCATTATTACAGTTTAAAAGTAATTGGTTGGCTTTGACTTTATTTAATAAAGGATTTTATGGGGCACCTGGGTGGCTCAGTCAGTTAAGTGTCTGCCATCAGCTCAGGTCATGATCCCAGAGTCCTGGGATCGAGCCCTGTGTTGGGCTCCCTGCTCATTGAGGAGCCTGCTTCTCCCTCTCCCTCTTACTCCCTCTCCCTTACTTACTCCCCCTGTTTGTGCTCTCTCTCTCACTTTCTCTCTCAAATAAATAAATAAAATCTTAAAAAAAACCAAAATAAAGGATTTTATGGAACTTGGTTAATACTTGATTATCAGACCTTTAAAATACATGCCAACTATGGTGTTATGATTTTTAGATCACTCATTTGAAGTTATGCTTATTTTGTGACTGCTATGAATACAGGTATAATAGAAAAGATTCATTTAAAAGTATTGTGAACTTAAACTTAGTCATTCTTTTTTATTTCACTCTTAAATTACCTGTCCCAAAATGCTGACTTTCTATTTGACCCATTGCAAATGAGATCAGACATTAACCGATCAGGTATTAACGGGCATTTGAGGTGTTTCTAAAATATTCTGTTATTACAAACCTTACTGCAATGAATAATTTTTACTCAAGTCACTTCACATATGTGGGTGTGGCCAGCAAGCCACTTAATGGTTTACAAACGTACATCTAAAACATTAGCAGCAATATCTTAAAGCAGAGAGGCCTCCCTTGTAAGTTCCTGATTTGTAACATTGCCAAATGGCATCATTGCTGAAAGTACTCACTTGATCTCTAATAGGTATAATTGAATTTGTTTTCTTTTTTCCTAAACCTGCTCCTTTTTTTGCATTACATATTTGGCTTAATGACTAACCATCTACATGGTCACCCAAAATGGAAAATTCAGTCATCTTTAATGCCTTCCTCTCACTCTTCTAGATTTCTTGTTATATGAGATCTGAGCACTCCTACCTCTCCATTTTCTTGGCTATTTCTGTAGTTGATGCCTTTGTCCTCTACTGGGACAATTTCAGTGTTCTCTGTATTATCAGCAAGTATTTACTGTACTTCTCCAGGTTGTGCACTGGGGATATAGTCGTGAGTGTCCCAGGTAGAAGAGAAGTCAGGATTTTGAACACAACCTCTTAAGTGCAGTTCAAGTTTTCTTTCTAAAATCCTGATGATTCTCCTACTTAAATACATTTAGCGCTCTTCTCTATGTGTGATATATCACTCAGAACAAAACAAAACAAAAATAGAGGAGACCTCTTTGTGCCTTCCAAGTATAGATGAAGGCTAACTTCTTTTTTTTTTTTTTTAAGAGACAGAGAGGGAGGAGGAGAGGGGGTGGGGGAGGGGTAAAGAGAGACGGGGAGAGAGAAAATCTCAAGCAGACTCCCTGCTGAGCACAGAGCCCTATGTGGGGCATGTTCCCATGACCCTGAGATCATGATTTGAGCTCAAATCAAAGAGTCAGATACTTAACCCACTGAGCCACCCAGGTGCCCCCCAAAAGATCACTTTCATCACTTACAAAGTTGATTCTGAAGAATCTGTTAGGTTGTCCTTATACTGAACTCTGGCAGCAAATAGACCTACCCATCCAAAACCCACCCACAAGTCCATGGAGAGGCAGAGGAGAACACAGGGAACACTTCTATGAGGGAAGTTCATTCTGAGAGAGCAAAGACAGTTGTATACTCTTGTTTCTGGTTTCTTTGCTTAATAGTCATCAGTAATGTTGCTTATATAGTTACTCATTTTTACTGCAGTATAGCTGTGTTTGTATCACAATACATTAATCCATTCTACTGTTTTTTTTTTTTAATTTTTAAAAAATATTTTATTTATCCATTTGTCAGAGATAGAGAAAGCACAAGCATGGGGAGTGGCAGGCAGAGGGAGACGCAGGCTTCCTGCTGAACAGGGAGCCCGATGTGGGACTCGATCCCAGGACAGTGGGATCATGACCTGAGCCGAAGGCAGAAGCTTAACCCACTGAGCCACCCAGGCGTCCCTCATCCAATCTACTGTTAATGTACACATTATCATAAATGTCTTTTGGTGAACATAATGTGTGCATTCTAGTGAATAGATTCCTAGGAGTGGAATTGCTCGGTCATAGAATACGTATGTTTAGCTCTCATGGATATTACTCAGCAGCTGTGGTTGTTCCAATTAAGACTCTTCATCAGTAGTGTTTGAGATTTCCACTAGCTCCACATCCTTGCCAACACTTGACATTTTCTGTCTTGTTTTACTTGAATCGTTTTGTTGGATGTGTAGCGGCATCACTACATTGGACTAATGAAACTGAGCTGCTACTTTGCTTCTTAGTCATTTAGATATTGTCTTTGTCCATTTTGGGTTTTTCTGCCTTTTCATTATTGGCTTATAAGAATTCATTACATTTTACTGATACAAATTTTTTGTTGAATATATGATTGCAGATATCTCTACTTATTCCATGACAGCTTTTCACTCACTTTATCCTGGCTTTTAATGAACGAAAGTTTTAACTTTAATTTCTAGTTTACCAATGCTTTCCTTTATGTCCTGGTTAAGAAAATTTTGTCTGTTTCTTGCCAGTTCCAAGGTCATGAAGATGTTCTCTTTTGTTTCCTTCCTTTTTTTTTTTTTTTTAAGATTTTATTTATTTGTTTGACAGAGAGAGACAGTGAGAGAGGGAACACAGGCAGGGGGAGTGGGAGAGGCAGAGGGAGAAGCAGGCTTCCCGCTGAGCAGCGAGCCAGATGCGGGGCTCAATCCCAGGACCCTGGGATCATGACCTGAGCTGAAGGCAGATTCTTAACTGACTGAGCTACCCAGGCATCCCTCTTCTGCTTCCTTCTTAAAAAGTTACTTTTTTAAGCCTTTCACATTTAGGTGTAAAGTATATCTGGAATTGACTTCTGTGTCTGGTGTGAGGAGTGAAGACTGATTCTTTTTTATAAGGATCTCTAATTGACTGGCACCATTACTGAAATGACCATCCTTCCCGTTACTACGATCTCATCTATGTCATAAATCAGGATTAATTCTGGGTCTACTTCTAGACTCTGTTTCATTGGTCTTTTTGTCTATCCTTGTGTCTAAACTCATCATCAGTAGGCTTTATAATTGTTAACTGGTAGGGCGCCTGGGTGACTCAGTTGGTTAAGCGACTGCCTTCAGCTCAGGTCATGATCCTGGAGTCCCGGGATCGAGTCCCGCATCGGGCTCCCTGCTCGGCAGGGAGCCTGCTTCTCCCTCTGACCCTACCCCCTCTCATGTGCTCTCTGTCTCTCTCATTCTCTCTGTCTCAAATAAATAAATAAAATCTTAAAAAAAAAAAAAATGTTAACTGGTAGTATAAATCCTTCAGCTTTGTTCTTCAGTAGTGATTTGCACTATTTTTATTGTTCTTTGCATTTTCATTAACATTTTGAATCAGTTTGTAAATTTCCACCAAAAACTCTGCTGGGATTTTATTGTGATTATGTTGAACCTATACATCGGTTTGGAAAGACTGACATTTTTATAATATTGAATCTTGCAGTTCATGACCATGGTATATCTTAATATATATGTCATTTAATTTCTTTCAATAATATTTTTTAGTTTTCAATAAAGAGTTATTTCATTTGTTTTATTACTAGGTATTTGATATTTTTATTCCTAGGTGCTTGAGATAGCCCTAGATATTTGACAGTTTTTTTAGAATATTTATGATATTAGTATTAATGATTGAAGGCCATTTGCTTTGGTAACAAGAATACTGCTAAGCAAACATTTTTTTTTTTTTTTAAGATTTTTATTTATTGGGGCACCTGGGTGGCTCAGTCGTTAAGCGTCTGCCTTCGGCTCAGGTCATGATCTCAGGTTCCTGGGATCGAGCCCCGCATCGGGCTCCCTGCTCGGCGGGAAGCCTGCTTCTCCCTCTCCCACTCCCCCTGCTTGTGTACCTTCTCTCGCTGTGTCTCTCTCTGTCAAATAAATAAATAAAATCTTTAAAAAAAAAAAAAAGATTTTTATTTATTTGTCAGAGAGAGAGAGAGCACAAGCAGGGGGAGCAGCAGAGGGAGAGGGAGAAGCAGGCTCCTCACTGAGCAAGGAGCCCGATGTGGGACTCGATCCCAGGACCCTGAGATCATGACCTGAGCCGAAGGCAGACGCTTAACGACTGAGCCACCCAGGCGTCCCTC